TTGTTTTTTCTTACATCAATGAACACAGATTACCGTTAATATGCATGAACATATTCATACACTTATACATGTAGGCCCACATTAATGCCTATTAGGGTGCGTTGTGTTGGAGAAAGGCAATATTTTATATTTATATCGAAATATGGGTAGTCGAAAAAGTCTTTTCAAATTTCTATTCAAACTTCAACTTATTTTATTTATGTGATTGGTAGATATACGACTGCAACGAAGTCCATAGACAAAATACGAAAAGACTTTTTCGACTACCCAATAATGGTTAGGAAATTAATGACTTGTCTTCTTATTTTTATTATTTATATTACTTTTATTATTTATATTATATCATCATTTAAAATGCAAAATGACATAACATCACTTTTCATAAGTGTACAGGCGAAGGAAAAACGATTAATAGAAGCATCTCATATTGAAACAAAATTTGAGTTTCGCTTATAAAATTGTTATATAGCGATTATATCTGAGAGCGGAAGCTTGAAATTTTACAATATGATACACAATATATTGGGTAGTCGAAAAAGTATTTTCGTCTTTCTAACCAAACTTCAACTTAATTTTATTTTTTAAATTTGTCATGAACTTTAATCAACCAAATATGTACCATTTTAATCGATGACTTTTTGTCCAYTTTCCGCTAGATTCCGCTTTTCCGCTTATTCCATCAGTGTAAAACTTTTCCGGTTCCTCGTGAAAAACTGCGACAAGTAATTTTCACAGGCTTCTCTTTAAGCCAACTTTACTTCATTAAAGGAGTTCTTCATTGACCGAAACAAATGATAGTCCGATGGTRCAAGGTCAGTGCTATRTGGTGTATGCATCAAAACCTYTCAGCCAAGCTCTCCCAGTTTTTGCCGCGTCATCAAAGATGTGTGTGGTTTAGCGTTGTCCTGATGGAAGACGAAGCCCTTTCTATTGATCAGTTCTGGCCGTTTTTTTCGATTGCTTGTTTCAATCTCATCAGTTGTTGACTGTAAAATGTAGAATCAATCGTTCGACCAGGCTGGCGCAGCTCATACTGGTGGATTCTTTTCCAATCCCACCAAATACTCAGCATAATCCTTCGAGGCGTCAAACCTGGCTTTGCGACGATTTGTTAAGCTTCACTACGCTTGGGTCATGATCTTTTTCGCATTTCTTAATTTTTTAATTTTTTTTTTTTTAATTTGCAAGAACCCAATGGCACACCCTTAAGAAAGCTTTTTACCTAATTGATTCTTCTACCTATAGTTCGACAACTAACGGGCTAACTCCTTCGCTAAGCCTATGCAGTCTGGGCATCGTCACAGCCTAATGTGCGTACACACAAACACACGGACAGAAAAATACATTAAACGCACAATTTGGGCTGACTGTCAAACACAAAACATAACCTATTTGCATACCGTTTTAGTATGCGTGTCCGCGCGCGCGACTGTGTGTATGTTTGTGTGCATTTGACAAAGCTGACAACGGTTAGTCTGTCAGTGTGGATTGCCTTGTCTTCTTCAAATGTAACCCTTTTCTCGAGTGGAGCTTCGAGTGATTCGGAGCTCAAAGTACAAGTTTGCTTAACTCTTCGCCTACTTTCCGAGGCAGTACAACTGTAGTTTATACATACATACMTACATATATGTGTGTGTGTATTTGTGTGTAGGTGCACCACATCTCTGCTCACATTAATAGAGCTGTACAGACAGCTGTTTTTGAGCATATTATAAATCATCTAATATTTGTTTAAATGCCAGCATTACAGTCAAATAAACATCCATAATAATGTCTGCTGTGTAACCACCAACAGACACAACCGACATTTGTTTACCCATATACATACAAAGAAATATATATATATGTATATATCCATATAAATAAACACCCATATAACTATGAGTAATGGCAGGCATCTTAGTACATCCTTTTCGGTTGACTTTCATTTGATTAGGTGTACCCACAGGCATGAGCACGTGATTAAAGGCTTGGTCGAGATTAGCTTGCGGCGCTGTACGTAGGGTATAATTTGTAATTATGGCAGCAGTTCTCATAAGTATCTTTATAGGAGTGTAACTCCGAGATTCGGCAACCCGGCGTATCCGCGCGCTGTGCTTAAGTTTTGCACCGTCTAATGTTAAAAGGTAACAATCCCGAAGGCTGAGCCGATGTGAGTATTAAGCAAACACGATCCACATTTGTCAACAAAGCATTTATGGTCATTTATTATAAAAACCGGCAGCAATTAGAAGCTTAACTGATTATCGAAGCATGAAAAAACGTTAACTTCGGCTTCACCGAAGCTTTAATATACTTCACATGTTCATTTTTTATGGCATAAAGTAATAGATCTTTAAATTGATTTTAATTGGTATTATAAGGGAACTACTAGTACATATATGCTATATTAGTCCGATGTGATGAATTTTTTCAGGCAGACAAGAAGACAAGAAGGCAAAATGACACCTCAACAAACAAAAAAAAAAAAAATTCCATGTAAGCATTTGATTCGTTCAGTTTATAGAGCTTTAACTTCCGCTTTGGAGCTTAGAAAAATATATATGAGTCTGTACAAACTTCACTCCTCAAAACTATTAAAGATTTTCCTCTAGCATAACCTATGAGTTGGGTAGAGATCAGGTTCTTATGGATTTGTAATTTTTATTCTCGAGCTTGTGTCTATATATGAATTCTCTAGAAATAGCTAAATTAGTTGTATCTGCAGAAGTGGCCTAAATGAATTTGGCATCCATTAAAAATAAATTTCAACCAAGAAATAGTATGGGCTCGAGATTTTCAATGATTTCGATAAAGTGTGGCTAATAATATTMCGTAAACGAAGGTACTAGTGCATTTATGATCCATTTTAGCATAGTTTGTCACCTTCGGTTCATTAAACCTAAGAAATAGGCGAAACGAACTCGGCATAGACATTTGAAAAGTAGATTTGTGGAAACTAAAAATAACTGTATATACTATAGTACACGAGTTTTATCAATAAGCAAGCAATAAGATGGCGAGTGTTTATATGAAGGGTCATCCATTTCTAGGTTCACAAATTTTTTAAAGGAAAAACGCAGAKACTTCAAAAWSAATGGKGAATGTTTATTATCATTCGAAAGAACATTCTTTGGTATTTATTTTTGAAGATGATCTCTTCCAAATGTKGGCCACTRCTATGACTCAGATGATCCATCCATTAGATGGCTTCAATAACGAATACTTGTTATTTCGTAGGACCTGTAAAAAGCAGGTTTCAATMGTTTAGTGGGATTTTTCAGAGAATTTTCTATAGTAATGTACAGCTGTGAGCAATGAAATAGTTGTGGGAATTCTTAAAAAAATTCTTGATTTAATTTCGCACTTCATAAGATATTGATAACGTCCCTATTGATGTCAGTTTGAAAGTATTGGGTAGTCGAAAAAGTATTTTCGGATTTCTAATCAAGCTTCAACTTCTTTTTGTTATATTTATAATAATAAATAAATAAACAAATATGTACCATTTTGGTCGACCACTTTTTTTAGTGATATACGTCTGCAACGACATCTATTGACCAAATACGAAAATTCTTTTTCGACTACCCAATATTAAAGGAATGCCGTTAGATATAGGTGGTATTTTTCTGATCTGACATTTAAACTGAATAGTCTGAAACTGACTGACGCGTTTTGTTCGAAACTGTTTTCATAACAATAGCCACGATTTCYTAGGTTCTTCTGCGTCGATTTACCTGAAATTTTTAGTGACCCTTCTGYATAGACTTCTTCAATTTATACAATTTTTAAAAATTCGAAACAGTCAAAAAAGTGCTTCAAAACTTATTTACTTTCAGGCAGTAACTAAAAACGGGGRAAGTAAAAATTTGTTTGTACGAGATAACAATAAAAACCTCAAAAACTGGTTTATTTGMATTTTTCACAAAAATTTTGAGGTTATGGGAAAAAAGTCTATAGACCTCTTCATTACCTACAAACATAGTCTATAACTTTTTTATAGGACTCATAGYTTTGCCGGAAATCGAAATAAATCATTCTTAAGCCTTAACAATTCRGCAAAGCCTCTCCTTGCTTTTCCCAGCATCAGCTCGCCCGTAAAATCTCTCGTTTGCGATGGGTTTCATCATACTATGACTTTTTTGTTTTCAGAAATTAATCACCGTCTTCTCATAGTTTTAGTTTTTCCGGAAATCGTAATAAATCGCTTTTACACCTAAAAACTCAACCCCAGCCCCCCATCCATTTCCTGATCACAGATCGCCCATTAACTATTTTTCATTTAATTTTTGTTATATGTATGTTTTATTTTACTTTTCCAATGAGAGTTTGATCCAAGTTCGCCAGCTATTTCAGCTGCATTATATACTAGGCTTAAAATGAGCAACAATATTGCACAAAAGGATTTTGAAATTATCTGGCATTTGCCGATTGACAAAATAAATCAACTTAGCTGCCACGGGCGGCGATTCTTTCGCTTGCTTTCTTTGTRAAGAAAGAAAACGCATTATCCATCATTTGCTGCGTCTTTGTTGTTTTTCCACTGTTTCTTCAATCAACAGCTGCATTGCATCAGCAATGCATCAGAGCATCGCTCAAACACACATACATGCACACACACACTCATACACGTGCATAGAGGCCGAAAGAGCGCGCACATAACACGACTACCACTCACGCGTACGACAAACGAACACACACACATGCGTGAATTGGTAGCAAACACAGGTGCTGCCAGCTCAGAGCTAACTGTAAGCAGTGGCTGTTCCCAGTATTACGCCACAACAACACATGCAACAACATGTGCAATTTGGCGCTGCGACTCCGAAGAGTAGCAAGCTACGATGGCATACATTAGAAAAACTCTTAGAACCACCCCGAGCAAGAGTGAGGAGAGCTTGAAAGCTCGGCGACAGCAACAACAGCAATGTGGCRGGAAACAGCGCGCACGCAATAGGACGCAAATATTGTATCTTAAATGGCGATGCTGGCAGAGCAACGAATTCAGTTGCTCGCGACAAACGAAAGGAAGCTAACGAAGCGCCGTGCCAAGCGGAGTGTCAGCTGAGTCAGCTAGCAGAGCAGTGTTCAAAGAAATTCATGTTTGGTGAGCAAGAAACAAAATAGTTGTAACATCTAACAACAAAAGCAGGAAATTTATTAGCAACACTACCAAAAGTGGAGTGAAGCAAACACAACAAGTAACAAAAGCAGCGAGAGTGTAGCAAAAAAAAAAAAGCAAAACAAAAGCAACAAACAAATAAACACAAATAAAGCAACAACAATAAAGCAGTTTGCGTAAAATAGCAAAAATTAATAAGCGAAAATAACACAACAAACAAAAATTTAAAAGCTACAACAAAAATTTACTTGCAAAAATAAAGCAACAACAAAAATTTATTTGTAAAAAATAAAACAACAAAAATTTACTTTTACAAATACAACAACAACAAACAAATTTCAAGCAACAACAAAAATTTACTTGCAGAAATAAAACAACAACAACAATTAACAAGCGAAAATACAATTATAACAGCAGTAAGCAAGCGAATACAAGAAGAACAACAACATAGGTGCAGCAAAGGTGAAAATAATACGGTGAAAATTGTAAAATGAGAATAATGGAAATTGAGGCAAATTATAAAAGTGTTCTGAAAATTTCGCTAAATTGGCACGCAGCATGGGTGGCGGTGTACTAAAGCGTAAATTAGAAAAAATTATGGAAAATATTTATGTACATGAATGATGAAAGTAGTAATTTACGCGAAAAAGTTCACACAAAGTGAAGAAGTTACCTTAGCGCTACACACATACACCCACACACACACACATACACACACTGAGCAACATTTCGACACAGTGACACGGCGCGTGTGAGCGAGTCGAACGATGTGCGAGCGAGTGAGTGGGCGGGTGACTGAGTGACAGCGTGCCACATTGGCCATGTACGCGCATACCAAACAGGTGGGAGGGGAGTACGATGGGGGACTCAACTACAACGACTACAACTGGTGCGTGATTTATGGGTGCTGCGCTGCGTTGAAACCACTACTTGAAGTTGCAAAACACCAACAACAACGACAAGATATACAAACTATAAAAGAGAGACAAACAAAAAAGCAAAAAATAAAAAATATGATTAATAAAAACGGAGACTGAGTGCTGCAAAATGGTCTTACATTGACAAAGTTGGCAGTGAAAGGCGAAGAAGACACACGAAAACAGCAGCCAGCAGGCARTAGGCAGTAGGCAGCAGGCGGTGACTGCGTTTCGCCAAGAGCGGCGCAGTGAAGTGTTAAGTTGAAATTCCAACTCATGAATGAATGAATTTGTGTGTTGCCAACACACAGGCGCATAACAGGCATGAATAGCGTACAATTCTATGTGTGTATATTAT